AATGCCTTATTTACATCCTACACTATAATGTAATTAGTTTTCCCTTACAATAAGATTTTAATATTAATTAGAATGTATAACTTAAAGAGTTACCAAAATACTAACTGTCAGCAATAGTTGTGACTTCCTCATTCCGATACAACCAGCTGACAATGGGAGCAGGTGAACTAGTAACACGGCAAACAACTTCTGCATCTTCTCCCTGCCTGAACTCTTGTGGAGATGTTATGTCTCGGAAAGTGAGCTTTTCTGAAAAGGAAAAAAACCAAAATATACTAAACCACTTCCAGTTTACTTAGCACTGAAATTATATAAAGATGATAAAGACGACTATTAAGCCTTCTCCTTGAGCATAATACAGAATTACTTCCATAGTATATTTTTCCCAGATTAGACTTAAATGATCCTGTATATAAGACTTCCATCTTGTCTGTAGAAATGATTTTACAATCATTCAGTATTATGAGTATCTTTATTTATAAACTGAACACGTCTTATAAATAAGCATTTTTTATTGTTTTCAATGTTGCAGAGCCCAATCTTGAGAATCTAATTTTTTAGAGGACTAATCATTCAGGTAAATAGTCCTGTTTACTTTACTCTGTGTTTTATTCTTCATGATATTACTGAAAAAAGCTTCATGTTTTTATTCCATCAGAACCATTAATATGATTTGGGAAAGCCTCAGTTTGTTAAAAAGGTGGAACTGTAGCCTCATTGATTGCGAAAAATGTCACCTGAGTAAAATATGAAGACTTAAAAGCCCATGGGAAACCATCTGGAAAAAGTTGCTGTTTTTACTTGGTAAGGATTTGAAGCTTTTTTGAGGAAATATTAACTTTTTTTAGGCTTAACTGGGCTCTTTATTATTCCAATCCCAAATATTCAAACTTGATCTTAAAATTTTATCAGTAAGTTGAATAAGTTCAGTATTATTAGAATTTAGCATATGAACTGTATGATGGTATTAATCTCATACAAGATCTAATGCAGAAATCAACTGCCTTAAAAAGTATCCCGGAAGAATTTCTTCAACACAGAAGGAAAACTGACTTATCTTCTCTAACATTACCAATTCCATTTCAGAGGATGGTTTGGAGAGTAGAAGATGCATCTCCACCTTGTATTTTTCTCTTCACATGTCCGTTTTATATTGATACGAGTGCAGGAGCAAAAAATCCACGTGATTCCCACAACAGAGGGAGCACACTTTTATTATATACATCTCTTGTATACTTGTATAACTGCTTGAAATATTTGATCTGACTTAAGTCAACAGAAAAACTCTCGTTGACACCAGTGAGCACTGAACTTGACCCTAGAGGAACAATGTATCCTGCTTTTCCCTTGCAATATATCACAAATACTGACTTTCATATTCAACTTTTATATGTCAGCTCCCATAAACCTTCACATTTCTTGTGTAGGTCTTTTAGTCTATCCTCAGACTTATTAAAATTACCACAAGCAAACACTTCAAAAGATTTCAGCCTTGCTCAGCAGTCTGTTAATGGAGTGACTGGCAGCTTTAAGCATACAAATGACTTCCACAAAACTTGAAATCCTTTGAACTGTCAGCTTTCAAGCCATCATGTAATTGCTTGTAACTGCTATCATCGTTCTAATGGTTGTTTTATCAATTGCATTTATTTTTAAATTGTATGCCTTTTGCTATCTGTGTTATCTGTGCCTTTCAGAAGCTCTACTTCATCATTTCACTGTGTATTTACTGCCTCATTGCAATTCGGTAATGCACAGTCCAACGAAAATCATATTTTTTTAGGTATTTTTTAAGGACAATTCTCCAATGAAATTAGAGAAGACCTCAGCTTAAAGGTGGCTGGCATATGTCCTATCCTTTCACCCATAAAGATCTGCCTTATAAGTTTGCAGCATATTGCATTTAGCATATTGCATTTAGGTATTTTTGACTGATCTAAAGAATATAGTACACTGTAAAGTTATTTAACTAAATTGAAAAAAAAAAAACTCTTACAGAATCCCTCACCATAATACACTGTATTTACATTTCAAATATACTCTTCAGTTAGTTGTTTGCAATTGAAATGCATTTTGGTTGCTTATCATATTAGGCTTCAATGCTTTACCGCAAAATTGCATTATAAGGTCAACAGGAAAAGATTGACATAAAAAATCTAATTCAGTCTAAAATTCACTTTTTTAATGACATGCGTTGCACTTCTTGCACTTCACTTAGTTATATACATTTGTCATTAGTTGAATATGCATTTGTAGTAACAATTAGGTTGATGTAACTCTTTTCTTGAATGTCCTCTTCTCCATGAGGGATATACAGTGCATATTTATAACATGGTATTTTAAGATGCAAAGTAAAAGTGATATACTATATTTTAAAGTGGCTATCCATTTCATTGGAGTCTTTTTCATAACATATGTGAACTTAACTGCAGGAGATGCAGTTATTCGGAAGATCAGGTTTGGAGCGTGGGATGATATTGTGATATGTTTTACTTCCCCAATAGCAGTGGCTTTCAAAATATATTCTTTCTTTTGCTAGTTGATAATATTTTACTTACGATAAATTTCCAAAACAACAGTAGCTTCCTGAGTTTGTCCTTTAGCATCTGTGGCTTGACATCGGTATATACCAGCATCTTCTATATCTGCATTGTAAATGGTTAGACGTGATCGAACACCTTCTTTTTGAACAACTACTCTTTGACTAGAAACAATCTTCTCTCCCTGTGGATTGTACCAATCTATGTTGTCAGGCTCACCAATGGCTAAAAAAAAAAAAAAAAAACAAAAAGGAGAATTATTTCTCATTATGCAATATTCAGGTGAGGGTTTTGTAGTCCTTTTCTTCTCCATCCCCTCCCTGCCTCAACCTCCTCTTCCCTCCCTAGCAGCATACCCTTGGCTCTGAAAGAATTGCTAAGTTGCGAGAAAGAACAGTGTGAGTCTGTAGAAAGATGAGAAAATTGCAGGCAGATGTATCATCGTTGAGAAAGTATGATTAGAAGCTCGAAGATTCAAGAGGAAAAACACCAACATGGGAAAGTATAAAATCTGAATGGAAAGAAACAGGCTGGTCTGCAGTCACTGGACCATGAGGTCAATCCATCAGTCAGTTGGATGGTCAGCATAGTTAGGCCACATGTCGGTGTTGATGGAAGACGGCAGCTCCGCAACATCAAGAATCCATTCCAGGAAGCTGCCAATGCAAACCCTTCTCCTCTTGACTGATACCTGCTGGGCCAGCACAGACCCTTTGAGTCTTATCAGAGTGGAAGGATGCTATCATTTAGCCTAGTAGCCTATTAAATCCTAGCCCTTGCTTGTGTGTGCTAGCCAATAAATAACAGCTTCCCATTTTTAAGTTGTGTTTATCCTGTTGGTAAAGTCCTTGCACTTGGCTAGCAATGCCTCAACACAGTCACCCAGGAGTAGCAGTGGCAGTTTTTTCCTTTCCTTTTTTTTTGGTTTGTAGTTTATTTCTCTAATCTATTTTACTTTCTTTACAGTAGCAATGTAAGTAACACCGGCAGCAATAATATTCAACATCAGGTACCTTCCTATTCTCCACAATTCATTGTCATTTTCACTTTCTGACATAGTTTTCTTCCTTTGTCACTACTTACTTGGCAGCATGCACAAACTGAAATATTTCACTTCAAAAAATAAAAATAAGGAAAGATAAACAGTTTTTTGCTTAACGTTTGAAGGAATTGCTGTTTTTTAGACCTGCTCTATTAATATTCTTGCCACGGATTTAAGAATCTGTTCAGGTAACCTGTGTTGTAGGTTAAGTAAATGACTTTTTAACATAAATGTCTCAGCAGATTATTTTAAGAGCAATTATGTTAGAGTACTTTAAAAATAAAATACTTCTGCACTGTCATACACAATTATTCAACATCTGATTACTTATGCAAATTCTAATGATACAGTTTAGACAAGTAAAAATATTCTAACTAAGCAAGCAGGTCAATAGATAAGAATTACCTACGCTGCGACAGATAAATTTTGAATTGAGTGATTCCATTTGTTTGGAATCTGAAATCAACAGTTTCTAGACTTGAAACATATCATGCCAGTGAAGATCTATTATGTATTACAGTTATCAGTCAATATGAATACACAAAACATGCCATTTTAAGTTACTATTCTAAATCAATTGATTCATTTTCAAATTATGAAAAAGCTTTTAACTTAACAACCCCCCTCCCCCCAATCTGCAAATAAAATTAATACTTACCTGTGCATGTGAAGAATTTGGATTCACCCACACTGAGCTCAACTTTGCTAAGTGAAATTGTAACTTGAAGTAGACCTGAAAAATATCAAGCACATTGTGAATACATTTTTGGCATTTATCAGTTAAAAATTTCATATTTTCAAATTTTCTATTTTCTCATTCTATAACACAGGTACTATATGAAATATACAACAAATTTGAGAAGTTTCAGCTTAGCATTGTATCTCCTAAAACAGAGTGTATATTGAGATGGAGAAAACAATCAAAATGAACAGAAGATATTATACAAAAGATATTAGTCTCATATTCTAAAAATGAGGAAAAAAAAGGAAAAGAAGAAAAAAGGAAATAAACACTCCTGGGCAGCAAAACAAGAACTCAGTTAGAAGGTGACTGGGAACAGTTAGCATGGATTGAGCAAGGATAAATCATGCCTGATCAACGTCATTGCCTTCTATGATAAAACGAATAGTTTTGTGGATGAGGGAAGAACAGTGAGTGGTATTAGCCTTGACTTTAGCAAGGCTTTTGACACTATCTCCCAGAACATTCTTGTATCCAAGGTAGGACATTGTGGTCTGCATGGGTAGACAGCTAGATGGGTAAAAAAAAAAATGGTTGGCTGGTTGGGCCCAGAGGTTAGTGATTAATGGGATGCACTCTACTAGAGGCCCATAACAAGTAGAGTAATGCATGGATCTATCCTGAGATCTATTTTATTTAACATCTTTATCAATGATCTGGAGGAGGTCATTGACTAAGAGACTGGAAGAATGGGTTGACATGAAACTCATGACGTTCAGCAAGGATAAATGCAAAAGTCTGCACCTGGGAGGGAATGACCCCTTGCTGAGGAGTTATTAAGATGACTGACATGGTAGACAAACGTGTCCTGGCAGCAAGGAAAGCAACAGCATCCTGGTCTGGTATTAACAGGATCACGGCCAGTAGATGAAGGCAGGTGATTACCACCTCTATTGGCATGCCTTAGACCATATCTAGAATACTGCATCCAGTCTTGGGCCCCCCAATATAAGAAAGACTTCAACAAAATGGAGTCAGACTGGGGCCACCAGGATGATCAGAGCTAGAGCACTTGCCCTGCGAGGAGAGCCTGAGGGACCAGGGCTTGTTCAGCCTACAGGAGAGATGGCTGCAGGGAGGCCTAACAGCCAACTGCCCATTCCTATAGGAAGGTCATGCAAAAGACAGAGCTGCGCTCTTCATGGGATAAATGACAGGTAGACAAGAGATAACTGGAGTAAGTTGACACAAGAGAGTTTCAGCCTGGATATAAGGAAAAGCTTCTTTATGGTAAGGACAGTCAGGTAGTGGAAGAGGTTGCCCAGAGAGGTTATGCAGGCTCCATTCTTGGAGGCTCCAAGAGTTGACTTGACGAGCGTCAGACTAATGCCCTGAACAACCTTGTCTGTCCCTACAGATGAACCTGCTTTAAGCAGGAGGTTTGACGAGAGATCTCTTTCCGTCCCTTTTTACCAGAATTATCTTATGACCCTATGAATAACTTCCTCAATATACCTTGTATTGATGAATGGTTTATTTATGCAAAAGAACTATGCATTCTTATATTTGCAGTTCCAGCACTCTCATTATTGTAAGCAGCTGTAGCTCTTCAACATTTACTGTCTCACAAAACTAGACAATAAATGTTCATGCACCAAAGTCAAGGACAAAAACAGGCATGTTAATTTCAAGCTCTAATCAAGACAAAAAAAGGTAAATAGAAAAGGGCTCAAATTTTAGGGAAGAAAACGTACCGTCTAAATTTTAATTCAGTATTACACATAGCAGGCAACCGAGATGTATCTGAGGTTAAAATTCTTTTTCTTTCAGGATTTTTAGGTTTTGAGTCTTAAAATACATAATTACAGTCTATTCTACACACAAAAATTATGAAAAGGAAGAAAATAAAAGAAAAGACAAAGAAAAGGCAAAGAAAAGGTAAGGATGACTTCAGTATCAGCCTGCCAAACTAAATTTAACAGAACTGGTTATTTTATGAAGAAAATAAAAAATCCATGCGGTACACATTATTTTATATGAGAGGTCCTAAATTGTGGATACTCCTCCTGAGGAGATGATCCTAACATAACTTTTTTTCTTTTTTTTTAACCTCTCCCACCCCACCCCCTAAAGAAAACAACTGAAAAAAACACAGCAAAACCAACCACATTGTATTTCAGGCAAAAGTAAGCACTCATATGTAGTCTATTTAAGTATATCAAAAGTTGTCCATCCACACAGGCAGCCAGGAAGAGGGCATGATTGCGTAAGAGTCAGGAAGAAACTACAGTAGATTGTAAAAATGTCAGATCCAGCACCAGAGCAGGCACTAGTATCCTTCCCATTGCAAAGTAAGCAAAATAGGGAAGGCTCGTTTAGCACAGTGACACAGCACTGACTGCCGAGGACATAACACCAGAGACTAATGCCTTATGTTCTCATTCACATATATGGCCCTCATGTCCATGGACCAGAAACAAAGGAAAAGCCTAAGTACAGGGAAAGGATATGAGTTTTTGTTGTAATAAGCAGCTATGAGCATTAAATCATTCAGGAGGCTACTCAAAGCTTTATAAGCTTTATTAACCTGTAATTTCAAATAACCATGGCAATAATGGTAAGCTTCACTTTAACCTCAAGACATATAACAAGTTGGAAACCAAGTTACTAATAAATTCAGAGGTTGCAGAATTTCAAGAGATTAGAGCCTGGACATGTATTTTAAATCACAGACTCAGTTTTAGGTTCCATGCCATCACTCGTCTGGTACTATTTTCTTTAGGCCTTGCAGAGCTGCTTCAGGAACAAATATGTTAGCATATCACCAGTATTGCTCTAAGGACAATCAGATCGCTCAACAACTTTAATAACTGATGCTGAATTAGGTAAATAGACTAATCAATAAATGTCAAGTAGAACATAGGAAAACTCTGATGAGAAGTGAACGGCAAAGTTAAGAGACTATTTTTCCTGCATCAATGTAATATATTTCTGATACTGTAATATAGCTTTAGCAAAATGCTGATACTCCACTTAAAATTCTTAGCATTAGTCCAATTATTAACACTATGGAGACATGCTAGCCTCCTCTCTGAAAACAAAATGAAATCATATTTTCCACATATGGCACTTTAATATTTACAAAATAGAAAAATATCTGACCATCTGCCTAATATTTCCCGCCTTGTTACCATTGCTTTTTACTGGCATTGCTTCATGTAAATAAAAAAAAACATTCCTTTATGTAAATTAGAATGAAAAATATTGCCCAAGTGATCAATCCAGCAATCTGTGCTTATTACGCAGTCAGGCAAATAGTTCATTACTAGGCTACGAGAAGACTCACTCATCACTTACTTGGAGCATGATGTGCAATTAAAAGCAAAATACTGTAAAGAGAGAGCACATTCAGGAAGTTTTACACTACTTCCAGGTTAATTTCAACAACCAGCTAGATGTGTTATTAGAAACTGTGATGAAGATGATGTGCAATGTATATGCCATTTGAGTTACTACTGTACACTAAGAGCTAATAAATTAAATCATGGGGGGTAGTTTGTATCAAACTCGTTTGAAAATCTCTGAATATTTATGAATAACTTGAACGTTTATTTTATCAGGTTAATGAAGCTGTTGCAAAAATTCAAGTCAGCAGAGGCTGTTTTAACTATGCTTTAACTATATTTAACTGTATTAAAGCAATAGCCACAAATGAGCAGTAGCTTCTTACTGGATTTGACAAAATACTGCCTCTTCCCATGTTTCCAAGGATATTACAGAACTAGCAAAAAATATTTGCAATACATTACTGTAAGATCACTTCAGGTAGAACACCGTGGACCATAATGCATATTGTAGTATCAGCTGTTCTGCAAAAAAGTGAAGTCAGTCAGGGTTTCACTCAGTCTTCAGTATATGTGCAATTTTATAGCAAAATAAAGTGCTGTTAGCACTTTGTGATACAACCAATCCCTTCCCTTTTGATCACAGCCATTATAAAAGAATTTTTAACAGCTGTACTGTTATAAGAGGATCCTGCTGAATTATTTCTTAGCAGGTTTAAAAATCACTTAGGAAGATAACGAAAAATAGTACTAGAAGGTCCATTTGTTCTGTTAAATGTAGAGAGAAATGACCCCACATATTTTATACACTAAATGGTTTTAGTCCCATTTGCACTACTACCCTTCACATGCTAAAACTACCACAACTGGCCATTTTTTTTTTTGTCAGTCTTGGCTGCGATATTATTTGACGGTCTGTTTTGCAGCTTCTATTCTTCCACCATTTCTTTACATACTACACAGTGATGTACTTTGGTGTATGGAGAGACACGTGAGCATGTTTTTCTTGACACCTTTGTTTCTTAAACATCTTTCAGGTTAACAACAGGTGCCAATGTCCAGAACTGCCAGCCTCGTACCCTTCACAAAAATATAGGTTTAAAGTTCAAAATAATGTTAATGAATGAACTGTAGTATAAGCTCCTTCCTTCATGTGTTAGGTCAGGATATAAAGTGACAGTTGACATTTTTTCAGTACCTACATTATGTCTTAAGTTCATCTGTTTCCAAATGCTAGTTCTTATTGAACATTTCTTTAATTACAATTGAATAATTCCTTTTCTGTCCCTATCTGAACTTATCTCTGCTTTACCTTCAGACATGCTAAACTGTTAAACTATGGGATCTAAGCAAGAAATCTGCAAATAAGTAGTAGCACACAAGAGAGGAACAGGATACAGGGAATTTGGTACGTCAAAGAACATAAATTCAGAAATGCACTGTAGTGTTTAAAAGGAATAGCTGAGCTAGACTGAAGAATAGGAACACTGGCAGGTATTTGCCTATACAGATCCATTGGTCATTCTTCCCAAATAAAGAGTTAACTGTACCCTTAGTACTTTGCAGATAGAAAGAATTCATACTTACCTATAAGTCTACACAGATGATTATCTAATATAGCAAAATAAACTTGCCTTCACTGAGAGTTTAGGAAAAGTGTAAGAGTAACAAAGTGACTCACATAAACAGTCCTCCTCCCTGCACTTC